TTATATTAATTAAATAATTATTTATTAAGTTATATTAAAAAATATTAGTCCAATTACTTTTGTAACATACTGTATATCGAGTATTAACAAAAAAATTAATGTATATTTATTATAATTTGAATAAAGATATAAATATCTGTTTTAAAAAAATATTTTTTTTATTTATTTAAATAAAATTATAAAAAAAATATTATTACAAGTTTTTTTTTTAAATATGTAATTAAAAAGCAAATAAAACTTTAAACTTATTTATTATTTAATTAAAAATCTTATTTAATATAATACTAATTTTTAAAGTTTTTATATTTTTGAATTTATAACTTATATAATATAAAAAAGCAGCAAAAAAATTTTTTTTAATAAAAATTAATAATAAATATATAAGCTTATTTTTTTTGTTTTTTGTTTTATATAAAATTAAATCAAATTTATAGAGAGGAGTGAGAAAAAAAAAGAAATATAAAAATATAAATATAAAAAGAAAAAAGAATAACTAATAAAGTTTTTTATTATGGTTATATTTTATATTATAATTTCCAATACATGATAATCATGTGATCAGTACATCGCGTTAAAAAGTTCATAGATTTGATTGGTCAGTGACGCGTTAAGTAGATTTAAATTCCTTGATACAAAATATCACACAAAACACACATATCCGAACATAAGAAAAATTACCGATGGCCGACAGCACTTTAAATTTAGAGGATTATATCAGGCCGAGTACGCCGTTTCATATCGTGGCCGGAGACAAGTTAGTCATTTTGTGAAGACTATTATTCTCTTGTGTTATATGTCTGCTTAGATTTTCATGAAATTTAGAGCCGATGGTTTGGACGGTGATGGAAAAATTAGTACAGAAGACACAATAATACGCATAAACCAACAACTAAATGCAAATGGGTATCCTTCTCCTTTGAACTTTTTTGACGGTAATGAAAAATCCGTTTCAAAAATTGTAGAATGTATATATGAATTATTGCAACAACAAAAAAAAGGATACCGAATTTCGAGAGGAAATGAATGATCAACATAGGAGACTACAAAGCGATCATGACTTACTTCTAACAAGCATGGTGGGCAAATTAATTTCGTATTGTATTTCTTTTAGAATAATTCTCATTATTATACCCAATCTCAACAGAAAAACTTAAGAGCAAGAACAGAATTAAGTGAACGAGAAGTAGATGCACTAAGAGCGAAATTACTGTAAGTCTTGTTACATAAATGTTTGTGAATTTGTAGAGAACAAAAAAGAGACAAACCGATTGCGAATAGATGGATGGAAGAAGACTTGAGTAAAGAGTCCGAAAGACATCGATCAACAAAGGATGAACTGACCAAAACAAAAACTCAATTGATTTATACTAAGACACAAGCTTCGGTAGGTAATATGTCGTAAATTCAAGATTTATGATCACATAATTATTAATTGCTTTGATCGTAATTATTATTGTAGCATGAGATTAGGAAGAAAGAAAATGAATATAATAGGTTTAAAGAACAGATGCAAAAATTACTAAGCTCAAAATACAACGCAGCAAACTGTGGTCCGGATGAAGTAAATCCTCCTCGAAAGTCAACAATGCGACGTACAAATGATGTTCTATCTAATGCGCAGGTGAATGCCGGAAGTTTGAATTATGGAAGATCTAATAGAGTGAATACAATTTCATAAAGCCTAGTTGTCTGCACAACTATTCGTTTACTAATAACAATATGCAATTCCAAGGAAATGGTTGCCAACTTGCAGGAAAGGAACGAAGAAATACGAAGACAAGAATTAGAAATCGAGTCGCTTAGGAACAAGCTTGGTAATTAATTTCATTTCAATTGATAGAGGTTTGATATAAGAAGTTAATCAGATCTGAATATTAAGTTATATCATAAATAATTAGAAGATCAAAAATACCGAGTCGACTCACGAGTTGTTCAATTTCATTTTCTTTCTGTCTTATTTCTTCGTCTTTCGATTGTTGCATTCTATCCAACAAATTTGATGTTTCTTTAAAAATTAATTCCAAGACTAAGATTAATTATCAAATAGAGGAGGCATCAAACTTGTTGGATAGAGTGCAACAATCCAAAGAACAACTCGCGAGTCGACACGGTATTGTTGATCTTTCAATTATTTAGGATCTAACTTAATTCAGATCTGAGACTTAGATTAATTATCAATTAGAGGAAGCATCAAACTTGCTGGACAAAATGCAACGATCAAAAGAAAAAGAAATAAGACAGAAGGATTGTGAAATTAAGCAGCTTATCGATAAACACGGTAAACATAGTTTCTATTATCACTAAGATTTATGAATATCTAAAATAATAATATTTGATAAATAGATGAAACGTCAAGTCTTATAAGACAGAAGGATTGTGAAATTAAGCAGTTTACTAGTAAACTTGGTAATAATTGTTTCTGTTATCCTATTTTATGAATATATAAAATAATAACTTGATATTTGATAAATAGATGAATCATTAAGCCTTATAAGGCAGAAGGATTGTGAGATTAAGCAGCTTATCAACAAAATTGGTAATAATAATTTTTATTATCACGACTAGTTTATGAATATCTAAAATAATAACTTTATATTTGTTAAATAGATGAATCATCAAGCCTTATAAGGCAGAAAGATTGCGAAACCAAGCAACTTACCAATAAACTTGGTAATAATAATTTTTATTATCACCTAGGTTTATGAATATCTAAAATATAACATAAAATTTTATAAATAGATGAAACGTCAAGTCTTTTAGATAAAGTACAGCACTCGAGGGATGAGGAAACAAGAAAGAGAGATTACAAAATAGAAAAACTTACGAGCAAACTTGGTAAGAATTTATGAAATACTATTTCTTTTAATTTAATACCAAATGCTAACTTAAGCTCAATTACAAAATAGAGGAGGTATCAAATGTGCTGAATGAAATGAGACAGTTGAAGGACGAAGAGATAAGAAGAAAAGATTGCGAGATCGAGCAGCTTATCAACAAAATTGGTAATAATAATTTTTATTATCACGCCTAGTTTATGAATATCTAAAATAATAACTTTATATTTGTTAAATAGATGAATCATCAAGCCTTATAAGGCAGAAAGATTGCGAAACCAAGCAACTTACCAATAAACTTGGTAATAATAATTTTTATTATCACCTAGGTTTATGAATATCTAAAATATAACATAAAATTTTATAAATAGATGAAACGTCAAGTCTTTTAGATAAAGTACAGCACTTGAAGGATGAGGAAACAAGAAAGAGAGATTACAAAATAGAAAAACTTACGAACAAACTTGGTAAGAATTTATGAAATACTATTTCTTTTAATTTAATACCAAATGCTAACTTAAGCTCAATTACAAAACAGAGGAGGCATCAAATGTGCTGAATGAAATGAGACAGTTAAAGGACGAAGAGATAAGAAGAAAAGATTGCGAGATCGAGCAGCTTGTGAATCGACTTGGTAATATGACATTTTTTTTTTCTTTTTAATTGATTAGTTCAAGTAAGGGATGCTAAATTGAGAATTAATATAAATAGAGGAAGCATCGAACCTGCTGGCTAAAATGCAGCAGGTGAAGGAAAAACAATTAAAAAAGAAAGAGTTCGAAATTGTACAACTTGTGCATCGACTTGGTAAGAGCTCTTATTATTAAGCTTAAATCAGCTTAAAGATATTAACTTGGATTAATAAATTTTACTAAATAGAGGAGGCAATCGCGCCATATTCCAAGTAAAACTTGATTCTATCCGACGTACACTCGTCTGGAAATTTAATGTTTTAAAAATTTTTTTATATTATTTACGTAAATAAAAAAATTACTATATATTTGTCTAATTTTGTTATTTTGTTAAATTATATGCGTTCAATGAATTAAATAATTATTGTTTGATATATACACTTATTATGCTTATTTAAATAGGAATGTCCTATATATGAATTTTTCGTCACTTCACTTTTTTCTAATTGTTGCTTGTTACAAATGTTTTTTGTGTTCAAATCAATCAAGCTTTTCTAATAACCTTACAAACAAAAGGTTAAGAGTTATAATATTTATTTTATATTGAGCATGTTTAATGATTCTTCAGTAATTGTACAAAAATAATATTAAATTTATAAAAGATTTATATTATGATTTTTTTAAATTATTAATTTTAAAAAATTAATAAAATTTTATATTTGAAATTGTTTTTATAAAATTAGTAAATTTTTATATTTGAAAATTTTAAAAATCATTTGATCTACCTATTATTTATTTAAATATTAATTTTTTTTTAGATAATAAACAATATTTTGCAGTAAATTTAATTTGAAATATATTAATATTATATAAGATCTTTTTACTATAGTTGTTATGAAAAGATATTTATATTTATATGTTTTATAACAAATTAAATTTAAAATATATTATATATAATTTTTTATTTATTTAAAATAATATTAAAAAAATAATTTTATTAAAAAATATACAATATATAACAAAAATAATTGGACTGATATTTTTTATTATAATTCAATAAATAATAATTTAATTAAGATAAAACTTTAAATATATATATTTTTTATAATCTAATTAATAAATTTATTTGAAAATATTGATTTAAAATAAAAAAAAAATTTTCAAAAAATATATTATAAAATTTATATATAAATTTATATATAAAATATGGATGGAAATTAAAATTTTACTATAAAAAATTTTTTTAAAAAAATTAAATATAAAAATAAATAAAAATTTTAAGCTTATAAAAAAATTATAAAAGATTTATTATTATATTTAATAAATGTTATTAAAATTGATTTATTTTTTTATTATATAAAACTATTTTTAAAAAATCTCTAAAACATTTTAAAACTCTATATTACATATAAAATTTATATTTTTTAGTAAAATTTAATTAAATTTTAAGTTGTTAATTATTAAATAATTTTTTATATTTAATAAAATAATAATAATAATATTATTATTATTATATAACTTTTATTTAACAAATTTATGCATTGAAATAATTTAATAATTTTTATTATTTTATTTTATAATGTAACTAAAATCAATTATTTTTAAAAAAATTAAATTTTAAGAAAATTTTAATAATATATTTTAAAAATCTTATTAAGTAAACTTGTTTTTTATATTTTTAAATACATTAATATAAATTTTTGTCTTATTTAATCAATTAATTATTGAAATATTACAAAAATATAATTTAATATACTGTCTAATTATTATTATTATTTTTATTTTTATTTTTTTTTTTTTTTAAGGTGTAAATGCAGATTTGTAGTGTTTTTATTAATAAGTACCTTATACCAATTACATATGCAATGTTAGGACTCATACAAGTCAGTATATTATATACTCTATGTAGATTATCCCCCACATACCACCTTACGTCCAGCGCCCAGGAACCTATCACCTTGAGTGATT